CGTCGCTACCTCTCAGGGCCAGGACATGGAGCAGGACACAGCGATGCCGGCCTGCCCACGGCCTGTCACCCACCATGTCTGTGTCCCTCTCCGTCTCCTGCCAGCTCTCGTCACTCCTCTGCCCTCTAACCCAGCACAGCCCTGGGCTCCAAGCTGGCCAACTGCCCACGCACCATGGAGCCCCAGCGACCTGCGTGTTCTCCTTTATTAGGAACGCCTCCTAACCTCATAGATAACAAACTCTTGAGAGCATATGGATTTGAACTTGGAAAATGCAGGCCCTGGTGGTTCAAGAGAACTTAATGTGAGACACAAGCCAGAGGGATTCTTGAAAACAGAGGGGCACCGTGTCCAACACCCTCGACCTGCACATCCGCTAGGGTGCCATGCCACGCAGTGAGACCTCAGCCCACGGGGCTGGGCCGTTCCCGCCTCCAGGGGTCGGTGCACTCAGACCTGAACGCCAGGCGTCATCCCAGAAGCCTCGACGGGCCTTCACCTCAGCCACGGCCCTCAGACCCAGGCGGTTTTCCAGGAAGAGCCTGGCGACACGCGAGCTCATACTGACAGGCCACGGGGCCTCCACCTTCTGTCTGTGAAATGGGGGGGACCCTGCCTCCAGGGCTGGGCTGTGAGCAGTGCTCATCTTCAGGCACAACAGGCCTGGGCCACCATGCCCGGGGCCCAAGTCCCGTCACAAGGCCCGTGGCTCCCTCAGGAAGGGCCACGAGAGGAAGAGTGGGAGCCATCCCCCTGCACCGACAGTTGGTGTCTTCGAGGAGTGCTCAGGCGGCACTCCGCTGCGTGGGGAGGAGGGAGAGAAGTTCTGAGTGTTTGTGCAGAATGGCCCAGAACCCGCCGCACTGGCTGCTGGAGGCACAGTGGGGAGACAATGGGAGTGGGTGGGGTGGGGGGACAGCCTGCGGGAACCATGTTCCCATCTACTCCGAGCTTTCACAACAAAGGAAAGTGAGGCTCAGACAGGACATGGCTGTGGGGAGGCACCAGCCTCAAGCCTCACTCCCAAGTCCCAGGTCCTGCAGCTGGCTTCTCCTCTGACCACGCTACCCCGTCCCCGTCTCCCCTTCAGCAGGACTCGGCCTGTCTCTGCTTCCCGTCCACGCTCAGCAGACATCACAGCCTGAGCGCAGGCCGCCTGCACAGGAAGAGGCACTCGCTGCTGTGAACTTGCCAGCGATGGGACACGATGCACACACGTCACTTTATTCCACCTGTACAAGGGCCCCTCACAGCAGGCATCGGGACCGTATTTTTCAGGTGGGGAAGCAGGCTCAGGGAGGGTGACTAACTTGCTCTAAATCACCCAGGAAATAACAGAGCTGGGGTCCGAACCCCAAATACAGGCAGTTCCTGAACACCAGGCAGTTTTGCTTCCATGGGCCCAGCTGCTCTTACACCCAGCCCCTGGGTTTAACACTCTGGGTCACTCCTCCCCTGCCCCCCTAGAATGCCAGCCAGGCACAGGGCTGAGCACAGCACAGGCCCTCCACGAACACTCACACTTCAGACAGCCAAGCCCCCCCAGCGGCATGCCTGTGCAGTGACACCTCCCAGGCGAAGGGCCCGCAGCCCCGCCCGGCGCGTGGCCTCACACCTGCACTCCAGCACCGAGAGTGGCATTTCCCCAAGAGCTTAGCAAACAGGCGATAAAGCAGAGATGAGAGGGCGGGCAAGAGTGGGAAGACACCCCTATCGGGGAAACTGCATCAGCGCCCTGCTGAACGTCACAGGGTAGGAGGGGCCTTGCCCGGTGGCGCCTGTCGCGACGGAAATCACACGAACCCACGTGCACACACCTGTGGAGCTGCAGCGACAGGCAGAGGAAGGCGAGGGCGTGCTACTCCGCCAGAGAGAGGAGTGGCCGATACTGTAACAACACAGGTGAGTCTCAAAAGGGAGAGGAGCAGACCCAGAGACGTACCCTGTGACCTGTGTACGCCGCGCTGGAAACGCACACTGGCCTGTGACAGCAGGAGCTGCCGCGGCTGCAGAGGGGGCAGTGGATGGGCCACAGGAGGCACGAGGGAACTTTGGGGATGGAGTCACTCTACACCCGACATGTGGTGATCACATGCCTATGTGCTCACTTTTTAACATGGTGGATGTGACTCTTCACATGTTATTAAGCCTGGCTTTTTAAAAAATGCAGTTACAACTGAAATGCCCCTGGGAGCCGGATCTGCCGGCCACATGACAGTACACGACACCAGCCGCTGCCACTCTGTACCGAGTGCCCATGACCTCTTCACACGCCAGCACCAGTGGGCAAGGCCCACGCTGAAGAGCCGAGGGGAGGCCGTGAGGTCCACACGCGCCTGGGGGCACAGGTTCCCAAAGCAGAGCCAGCGTCACACTTCAGAGCTTTTGGTTCCCAAAGCCTTGCCTCCCCAGTCGTCAGGGGAGCAGGCATCCCGGGCAGCATGTCCCAGCAGCGGCTGTCCGGTCTGTGGACGTCAGGCCTCAGCCGCTTAGGGGCCACACACCTGGCCAGCAGCCGGGAGCGGCCGGAGCTTCCCACGGAGATGCCATGAACTGACCGGACAGAACCCCTCTGGTGGGTGGGTGGTAACTAACACCTGCCCCAGGCAGAAACGGCTCTTCTCTTAATCCCTCACCCTGGACCTTGCCCTGCCCGGCTGCTCCAAAAACAAGCTCTGTACCAGGCACGGGTCCACGGCTTGAGTGTGGGACACGGAGAGGACAGGGAGGGGCCCAGGCCCGAGATCTGGGCCGTCTCACTGGTGCCACCTCCTTCAGAGACCAGGCAGGGAGAGCCTGGCCACTGCCCACTTAGAACACCAAAGCAGGTCACTCTTTCCAAAGCAGAACAGGAAGACGTGGGGACACACACACACACACACACACCCCTCCCATGATGAGACCTTTTCCACGGAGTCTTTCGACCCGTCAGTCTAAGTGAGGGTGCAGAGGCTCGAGGCCAGGCCTTTCCCAGTCGGCACCCCGGGCCCGGGCCCTTGGCAATCGCCCTCATGGAAAGTTAACGGCGCCCATCTGGCCGCCTCCCTGCTCGCTCCTTGGGCCCTGGCGAGGGAGCAGGGTGCAGAGCACTCACTTGGGCTCCCCCTCACCTCCAGCGTCTCACGGGAAAACACACGGCTCTTTCCTCAACTCCGAGCTCCAAGGAACACTGGTGCTGTATCCCCACAGACTTGTGGACTAGATTCACGGCAGCCTTGTTTGCCCTATAATTTAGGGTTCCGGCCTGGAGTCCAACAAGAGGAAACTTCTGGTTCTAAACATAGCCCTGAACCCAAGACGGATTCTGGTTTCTTTAAACCTTCAACTTGTTTGGCGACCTTGCCTGTGTCCTCCGGAGCCAGCCTGCTGGCTGAGTGAGTGCACAGATGTGCAGGGTGCTTCCCGCGGACCACCACCTGTTCCGTGAGGGCGGCCCTTGCCCGGCTCAGTTACACACATGCCCGAGGGCACTGCTGCTGGCGCTAAGCACCTCGGTCCCCCACTCCTGCCTGAGACAGACACACCTCGGTCCCCCATCGAGGCTGAGGCTGCCACACTAGGAGCTCAAGGCTTCTGATCAGGCCCATGTGTTGACTGTAGGTTTTCTAAAAAATTAAACCACTTTTAACTAATGTTAGGCTTAGAAAAAAGCTGCAAAAAGTGGTAAAGAATTGTCATCTATTCTTCTCCCAGGTTCCCCCAGTTTTTAAAAAAAATATATTTTTATCAATTTCAGAGGGAGGGAGAGGGAGAAAGAGATAGAAATCAACGATGAGAGAGAATCATTGATCGGCTGCCTCCTGCACGCACCCTACTGGGGATAGAGCCCACAACTCGGGCATGTGTTCTGACCAGGAATAGAACCGTGACCTCCTGGTTCATAGGCTGACGCTCAGCCACTGAGCCACGCTGGCTGGGCAGGTGTCCCCAGTATTAACATCTCGCATAACCATCAGGACAATGGTCACCTAGGAAATCAACACCGGGTCAATGGCATCAGCCAAACCGAGGGCCCCACTGGACTCCCCCAGCTTTCCGACAAACGCCCTTGGATCCCGCTGGCCCAGAACCCGACCAGGCCCTCAGGCTGTGCTCAGCGGCTTCTCCTCCGC